CAGTCCATGCCGGGGTCTTGGGCCAGGGGGTTTCGGGCTTTAGGTGTTAGGGTTTAGGGAGTTCAGGAGTTTAGGGTTTGTGGTTTAGGGTTTAGGGTTTAGGGTTTAGGGTTTAGGGTTTTGTGGAGGAAAGGGTGGTGAAGATGTTGGCTGCGCTTTCTGGGATGCAAGCTGTAGTTCATCGAGGCCCTGGAGCCAAAACTTACCCCAGTCAAGCCCCGCGTTCTACGCGCCTTGGAAATGTTCTGCCGCCCAGTCCTATGTCTTCATCCCGAAATATCTTCCGAATCGAACCTATATTCTCCTAAACCGTCCTAAACCTTATAAACCCAAAACCCAAGACCCGAAACCCCATTCTCCTACACACGTACCCATGCGCCTGCGTGTGCTCATGAGGTTTCCGGTCCTCACGCCGTCGCAGGTCTTTTCCTTGGAGGCACCGGCTTCGGCTTCATTTTTAAAGGGCTTATGCGGTGCTCAGGGTCTATAGGGTTAGAGGGCTCTGGTTATTTAACGGGGTATGAAAGGTTTTTAGAGCTTCTCGCCTTTTTGTGTTGGTGGACTGGGGTCGGCTGATCTTTCCGGTTTCAACTCCGCCCTTTGCGGCGCCTCTCGCGTGAAGCCTCCAAGGGCGTAAACTTCGGTCTCTTGCGGAGATGCCCATCTCAGGTTATGGACGTAGCCTCGTACATCTAGGTTATGGACGTAGTCTCGTAGAAGCTCAATCCATTTCAATCCCGTCTACCCGAGCCCCACCTGTATAGGCCCTCATTAGTCCTTAAAACGTTTTAAAAGGTCAAATTCACCCTGGAAAGGACCCGCTCAAGTTTCAAACATGTCTCTTCACCGAAAGCGTCTTGTAGGGTAGCATACGTGAGAGCTGCAGCTTGCCAGTTGACCTTCTGGAAGAAGTCGGGCACTCAGTGCCGTGCTGTGGGAGGAGAGGGCTCCTGTGGGAAGGAAGGTTGTGCACCATGGGTAGTTCTGTGAATTTAGGGTCCGGTTTAGGGTTCCTTCTTCTAAGTGTGCCGTACTATGCATAGAACCCAAAAAGGGGCCCTTGTTTAAAGAGGTGCCCACATGACACTGTGCCTGTGCTCTTCAACCCAAACCAAGCCCTAAGCTTTACAATCGTGGTATGGAGGGTGTACTAAGGTCGGAATAGCTACTAATCGTATTCCCTGATGGTCCTAAAAACAATATACCACAGTACCTCCCCCCCCCCCCCCAAAAAAAAAAAAAAACAAAAACTATTCTAATTATTAAGAACCTTGTAGTACTCTTACCCAAGGGGTGTATTGCCCTACACCCTAAACCCTAAACCCTAAACCCTAAACCCTGAACCCTGAACCCTGAACCCTGAACCCTAAGCTTCCCTAAACCCTAAACCCTAAAAGCCCTGCGGGGACTGCAGGGGTCCCCAAAAACCAAGTTCCAGGGAAGCAGCTAACTGGACCACCAGTGTCTCCTCAAGCCTTTCACGTTTTTAGGGTTATAGGGTCATAGGGTTTAGGGCTTAGGGTTTAGGGTGGCATGCTTGATGTTTCGTTTGTCAGTCCAGCTCGAGCTCCTGTCTCCGTACTCTTGACACCTCCTGGTTTCAATTCTGCGCCGCCTTCATGGGGCTTACGGGTTTCTAAGGTTTGGGGTTCATTGAGCTTATCGGGTTTATAGAGTTTGCAGGTTTTATGGGCTTAATTATCGGGTTCATCGGGTTTAGGGCTGGGGTCCATCTTCAGACGGCTGCACGTTGCAAGGCTAGACTATGGCTGCTTGTGGTTGAACCGCCAGCACTTCAAGGCATTCTGCCAGGACCTCCCCTTTCCAACCGACTCGTTGTTTGGGATTTGAGACAGCCCGGTACCCTGTTTACTTGTCTAGTGTTTAGTATAAGGGTTGTCGAGTCTTGTAGAGCTCATTCTACCGTTTGTAAGGGTTAGGCGGAAGGGACCCCGAAGAACCTGAGCGCCTGCTCAAACTGCGCGGAAAAACCTTCAACCCCAACCCTGCACCCTGCAACCCGCAGCCGCTGTGTTCTCGTGTTTGTCTTCCAGGGCGACAGTTGGGAGTCACACTTCTGGGACACGGGATGCATCACGAATCGGAGGTCCGCATTGGCGACTTAGGGTTTAAGCCCTTGTTTCACTTGTCGGAGGTCCTCATTGGCTTGGCGCCTCAATCCCCCAAATTCCCCCGGGCAGCTGTTCTGAAGACCCCTAAACCCTTAACCCTTGAACGTTAAACCCTAAACCCTAAACCCTAAACTCTAAACCCTAAACCCTAAACCCTAAACCCCAAACCCTAAGCACCTCGAAGCGCAAGATGGCCGACAAGTACTTCCTCACCGTACCCTGGCCCCATGCGAGCATCCCCCCTCCACCCCCCGCCCAAAAACAAGAGGAATGCCGATCTGCTTGAAGGGTTCATGGGAACTTATAGGTAGGGCCTATAAGTGCCCGAAGTCAGGGCATGACCAGAATGGCCTGACTTGTAGGTACACAGATGAGCTTAGTAGCTGAATCAGTACACTTTACACTTTTTGGGGATACGATAATCCCCTATGGCACTGAAAGTGTACACATTTTTGGGGCTTATGAACCCTAAGCCCCAAACCCTAAACCCTAAACCCTAAACCCTAAACCCTAAACCCTAAACCCTAAACCCTAAACCCTAAACCCTAAGCCCTAAACCCTAAACCCTAAACCCTAACTAAGTGAGCTTCCAAGTAAGAAGCCCAGGAGCTCGAGTTCAACGTTCAAGATAGCATTGAGGTGGCGCGCTTCGCACGGAGCACGGCCCCGGTTGAGGGTCGATTAGGTCTAGAAGTAGGTTTTAGGGTTTAGGGTTTTTAGGGTTTAGGGTTTTTAGGGTTTAGGGTTTAGGGTTTAGGGCTACTTGAAGGTTCATGGGTTCTTGTAAGTCGGGATATAAGCAGCCGAAATAGAATTACAACCAGAGGTGCCTTACTTATAACCCTTCTTATACGTACCTCTAGACCCTCAACCCTAAACCCTACTGGTTAGTAGCCTTGAACCTTTGCGGGGTTTCTCAAGGACACTCGGAGTTAGCAGGCGTGGTTTATTGGGCCGCTACCCCTAAACCCTGAACCCTGAGCATTGAATCCTAAACCCTGAACCCCAAACCCTTAAACCCCAAACCCAAACCCGAATTCTAAGGGAGTAAGTCCGGGTGGACTGGGGCGGCAGGGCGTTTGTTGCTCCTAAACACCCGAAGGGTCCATGTCCCTATATCGCATAGGCCCTGAAGCTACTATTGGGGAACCCCGTGATGGCCCATAGTTCATAGCATACAGGTGCATGGACCTTTCGGGAACCCAACACAGAACAAAACAGGCTGTGTTATCAGGGTCAACTATCTGGGCCTTATTGTGGGTAGGCTAAACCCTAAACCCTAAACCCCTAAACCCCTAAACCCCTAAACCCCTAAACCCCAAACACTAAACCCTAAACCCCAAACCCCAAACCCCAAACCCCAAACCCCAAAGCCCAAGCCCGAAGTTCATGAGGTTATGGGATTTAGGGGCTGGTACGCTGTAGGCTATAGAAGGCTTAGGGTGATGGCGGTCTCTGGGTGCAGCCCAGGCCCTGGACCCTACTTGGAGGTTGGTGGGTAAATCTAAGCAACAGCCGCGCTACATGGAAGGGCTCGAGGAAGGCACCGCGCTTGCCGGACAACAGGTGCGACAACTGCGGAAAGGGCAGCGAGGCACTGTTGGAAATTGGAAGCTGGAAAGTGCCAAGTTCTTCTTCGAGGACAAGCAGTATCATGGGCAACTTCGGTTGCAGCCGATCCTTGGCGACTTCAGCAAGGACTGCGGCCGTGGCCGTGTTGGGTCGGATCACGGACAGCCGTGAAAACCCAACAGAGGGCTGAGGAACTCATGGAGTTTCCTCTTGACAACACGATGAGTGGCATGCGGGTCAACGGTGAGCTGTATTGGTGGGCTCTAACCAGGCCCTGGGAAACTTAAGTTTATTTAACTAGGGTTATAAGTACCCTGATTAAGGGTTACGACCATAGCTCCCCTACTTGTAACCCTACTTACACGTACCCATGAGCCTCCAAGTACGGACGCAGTTTGGGCTCAAGCAGCATAGGGCTGGGCTCCCTTTTGGCCAGTGACAGGTCGAGGATGCCAGCAGTGCTTTAGGTCAGCTTTGTGCCAAGTGAGCATCATGACCCTTCCTCAAGAACCCCAAGCAAGTGCGGGAGAGGAGCGCCGCATCAGTATTCCCAAAGCAGCTCAGTGGACAGGCTCTCCTCTAGGCACTGGCGCTACATAGCAGTAGGCTCGTAGGTCATAGCTGTATGGGCCGGGCGCTGCGCCTTGAACCCTTGCGCAGACACAGGCGCCTGTCTGCAAGAAGGGCTTACCAGCCCATATGCCTTTACATCTTTAAAGCCTCACATCCGACCCCGAAGCCCTGCAAGAATCAACCTTAGCACCTCAAACCCCAAGCCTGATTTCCCGTAAGTTGCTCCAGACGCTCCTAAACTACCTAAAGTTTCGGGTTCAGGGCTATAGGGTTTAGGTACTGGAAAGAAATTCTAAACGTTTGTTTGTGTTCTGCGGGTTAGAATTTCCATGGACCGCAGAAGCTACATTTTTCAAGGGGCTCTAAAGGGCTCTACGAGCAGGAGTGCTGACAAGGTCTCAGCCTCCACCCTGTAACGACGAAGCACAATGGCGCAATGCCCCTCGAGCTTCCCGAAACCGTAAACCCCAAACCCTAATCCCAAAACCCAAAACCCAAAACTCTTGAACGCTGAAGACCCACGCCTTCGAGAATCTCGGCTCGCGCTTGTCGTATGGGTTGGTGGCCAAGTGTACCCCTTTCCCTTTTTGGGGTCAAGGTTCCCTTCTAGAGTAACCAGCCGAAAAAGGGTGCCCTTATTATATTATGCTTATTATATTATGGCTACTGGGCTACCGAGTTTGGGTTGCTTAAAGCGTTGGGCCGCCAGATCGAGAGTGCGTCATGGCTTCCGGGACAACGCCCACGCAGGCTGGGCAGTTTACGGCGAATTGAGAGTCATGTGGTATGTTCTCAACAGCTTACTTTTCGCAAGTAGATGAAATCAATGAGCATCTAGGTTGATTTGTCAATCGATCATCCAATCAATCAAAATAATGTCTATTTCTTTCGCTGTGTTTTTTATTATCTATATATCAAGAAAGTTTATATATATATATATACATAATCATGCCACAATGGAAAGTGGGTTTTTCTTTAACATTGTGATTCGGCTCTTCGCTGAACATGCGTCTCTGCCGGGGAGGCCTATCATATTATACCACGTCCCCTATAATTACCTTCTGGTTCTTACAAGAGAAAGAAGGCATTAGGTATCTGATATCCCCTATATGTACTACAATATGTACCCCTTAAAGGATTATGTAGGGTACCTCATTCCCTCATTCCCTACTAACAGCCGCCCAGTTCGTAACGCAACGCACCCCCCCACTCCGCTTTGCGGCCAGGTTGAACGTGGGGTCGTTTGGTTGAGCTCCCAAAGCTTCCTGTTGGTCTTTCAGGGGTTTAAGGCATAGGGTTTAGGGGTAGGGGTTCTATAGTGGCTCTGGGTTTAGGACTTTGGGTTTAGGAGTTTGGGTTTAGGGTTCGGGGTGTAGCATTTAGGGTTTCGCATGCTTCTCTGACTCTCAACTTCCAGCGCTGCGCCACGGCCTCCCAACCCCAGGCCCAGCAATGCCTGGCGGCGCTCACCAGGAGCCTGCTGGGGCTCGGCCCTTTAGGGTTTAGGGTTTAGGGTTTAGGGTTTAGGGTTTAGGGTTTAGGGTTTAGAGTTTAGGGTTTAGAGTTTAGGGTTTAGGGTTTAGGGTTTAGGGGGTTTAGGGGGTTTAGGGTTTAGGGTTCGGATCCTAACAACAACCCCATATATAAATTCCTGCATAGGCCACTGTGCAGTTTAGGGGGTCGTAAGCTTATTGTAAATCCCACGTCTAGGGTTTAGCGTTCAGTGAGTTTCAAGCTTCAAAAACTTCCTGTATCTCAGTATGCCGATATCTTCAGCCTCAGATTCAGAGATTGCATGGTTCAAGCCAACAGCCACAACAGAACGACGGCTTCCACCTCCGGGTGAGCGAGCCTACCTGAAGGCTCATGGGTACTTGTAAGCAGGGGTGTAAGTAGTGGACAACCCTTAGACCCTAGACCCCACTTATAAGAACCCAAAATGAGCCTCCAAGTTGTGTGCATCTTGACGGGAGCCATACTCCGAGATGCACTCCGTCGTAGAAGCCCTGAGTTGCTAGGACCATTCAGAGGGTCGGGTCTAGGGTTTAGGGTGTAGGGCTTGGTGAGATTAGAAAATCACCCTCTAAAGCTCTGAAGGAGGGAGCTCTTCTCTGTTGACAAGCGGCTCTTGGCAGTCGCGCGCTGAGCTGTTGGCGGTTTAGGGTTTGGGTTTAGGGTCTATAGGGTTCAGGGTTCAAAGTGGAGGCTTTGTGCTCCTTCTTTGGGGGAGGAGGCTTTCAGGGTTTGTGAGTTCGCTCAGCCGCGCTTAGGCTTTGATATTGCGGACCCATGCCCACCTTACCCCCAGCCCCTGGTAAGCCTAAACCACTCCAACAAGCAAACGCAACAAGTTATGGCCCCTTGTAGGCTGAGAGTCTGGAAGGAAGAAAGTAGCATGTCAAAGGCAAAAGCAAGGCACAGATCCACTTCGACAAAAGCTCCCAGCAACCCTTCTATGGGATCCCCCGTAGAACCCACTGAGACTCCCCCAAGACTTGAGACCTGTGGGATCGTTTGTTTTAAAGCCTTCTGCAAACACATGAGTTTAGACCTACACCCTACAAACAATTGAATAGGTTAGGGTGGTTTTGCCGCCTGGGACGGCCTGGGGTGGGATGAAAGTGTTAGATGGCCTTCCACAATCGGGTCAAAGCTGCCGGGCGCTGTTACGAAGCTTTCGAAGCTCGTCTTCGTCCCAACCTTCACAGCTTCTGCGCCATATCACAACAAGCCCTAAAACCAAATCCTACACCCCACTAAGGGATCGCTCTATATGTGGGTCTCTCTGAAAGGGGGGCCTGCGGCCGAGGCTGCCTTCAGCATCGCCATTGGCATCGCCCATCCTTTCTGCACCGAGCTGGCGAAGACGGCGCCTGGGTTAGACGGTGTAAGGGTTCAGGGCTCCAGGGTTCAGGGTTTCCGGAAGTCCGAACGTCGTGACGTTCACCCTTGCATGAAAGCAGTGAAGCAAGGAACGTTTGGAAATCGCTTTCCTATCAAGACAAGCATGGACAAACAACAACTTTCTGCCAATGCACAGACACAAGCGACCGAAGGGAGAACCCGCAATTGTAAGCCATCTGGGCTCGCTTGCCATACTTCAGCTAAACCCGAAGCCCTAAACCCTAATCGATCTGCAGCCCCCTCGGCCGCCGTCGCATCTCTTTGAGGGTGCGAGGCACATCATGGGTCCTTGTTGGCGCCCTGAAAGTCTAAGCCGGAACACTGGAGCTCAATGCCGCCAATCCATAAAGCCAAGACCGCAGCGGGCCCGGGTTTAGGGTTTAGGGTTTAGGGTTTAGGGTTTAGGGTTTAGGGTTTAGGGTTTAGGGTTTAGGGTTTAGGGTTTAGGGGTAGGGGGTTTAGGGGTAGGGGGTTAGGGTTTAGGGGTTTAGGGTTCAGGGGTGAGCCCTAAACCCTAACCCTAAACCCTAAACCCGAAGATGAGCTGCCCTCCCCCCCTTCCCGTAGTGGCCGTAGCAGGAACGGTTACCAAGCCCACATACGAAACTAAGTGTTGTTGAACACCCCCGTCTGTTGTAGCTGTTGCCTCAACCATCGCACCTAAACCCTACACCCTACACCCTACACCCTAAACCCTAAACCCCAACTTGCTTCCTGCAGGCCCAGCTGAAACTCTGCACGAACAGCGGCTGCGAGTGGACGCCGAAGCGTGCCTAAACCGCTTTTGGATATCATGCTAAGGGACTTGGTATCATTGCTTTTCTTATTATTGTAGTTATTTTTGTACAGAAGATTATTGCTCTGATTCTTTTTGTTATCATTGTTCTTCACGTATTGTATAAAAGTACATAGCCCAAAAACCTAACCCCTACCCGAGAACAGCCGAGGGGCGATGCCTTTCAAAGTCGCAACTCGACGGCAAAACGGGAAGGACGAGGCTTCAGCTGTCAGGGCTTCTATTGGGGTTTAGCGTTCAGGCTTCTAGGGTTTAGGGTTTGGGGGTTTCGGGTATAGGGTTTATATAGGGCTTAGGGGTTGTGGTTCAGGGTTTAGGGTTGAGGTCTTCTAGGGTTTGGGGCTTGTAGGGTTTTGGGGTTGGGGTCTAGGGTTCGCGGCGGGGTTGAAGGTTCCCTAAACCCTAAACCCTGAACCCCAAGCCCTTGACCCCCCCCCCCGGGATTCCCTTGAGGTGTTGGGGGGGTTGTCCTTACACGCTGTTCCGACAAAGAGGGCCGCAAGAGTCATCCCCAGCTTTAGGGCCGGGATGTCAGAGTAACAGGGCCTATGTAGGGTTTAGCCGGTTTAGGGTTTAGGGTTTAGGGTTAGGTTTATCCCTGAAACACTACACCTTTTTTAAAGCGCGGGCCCCATCCCAAAATTGCCGAATGGCGGACGTTTTCTCTCAAAATAACGGTCCCCTTTTCGAGGTTAATAGTTCTAGGGTCTAATTAGGATACAGGGTCTGCGTAGTACCCTTAGCGCTTTTCGAGAGTTGCCCAGATCACCCTCACCCTGACTTCGCAAATCGTGGCGGTGGTCTTAGCGGCGCTGACGGTCGTGCGCATGCGGGGATCCATCAAGGCGCCATGAGTTTAGGCTTTAGGGCTTTGAGGGTTTAGGGTTTGGAGGGTTTAGGGTTTGGGGCTTTGAGGGTTAAGGGTTCGGGGCTTTTAGGGTTTCGGGCTGGTTGAAAGGATTCTCTAGGCCCGCTCAACCCTCGGATAGGGTTTAGAGTTTGAGGTTTTGCCTGTACCCTAAACCCTGAACTACTCGTACGAGGAGAGGAATATCAAAAGTCGAGGCCGCATCAGTCAGCTTTGGCAAGGTTTGAGAGTTCGGGGAGGCAGGTTCGGGTGGTGAGAAGTTGCAAGTCTTAGCTACAGGGCTAAACCCAAACCCTAAATAATCCTACATAACCCTAAACCCTGAATATCCCTAAGCCCTAAATAGCCCCAAACACTAAACCCCAAATAACCCTAAACCCTAAACAACCCTGAACCCTCAGCCCTGGAGAAGCTCCAACGCCAAGCCATAGCGCAACCCGACTTTACGAGGCTCTGAGGGATTTGGGGGTAGCTCAGGTTCCAGAGGGTTTAGGAATGAGGGTCCCCTCCCTTGGAGTCCCCTAAACCCGAAACCCGAAACCCGAAACCCTGAATCCTAAACCCTAAACCCTAAACCCCAAACCCCAAACCCCAAACCCCAAACCCCAACCCCAAACCCCAAACCCCAAACCCCAAACCCCAAACCCCAAACCCCAAACCCCAAACCCCAAACCCCAAACCCCAAACCCCAAACCCCAAACCCTTCCCAAGCCTTGAACCCTACCGAGTCCCCCAAACCCCCGAACTTCGGACTTGGGCCCCGAGGGTGATTTTGTCGGGACGCTGGGGCTCGCGAGCTGAACACAGGTGGGTTTGGGTTTAGGGTTGAGGGTTGAGGGTTTAGGGTTTTAGGGTTTAGGGTTTAGGGTGATCCCTCTCATGCCGGGTTTCCATTTTGGGCGCGTATGAACGCTTTCCAGGCCCCCGCGTCAGCCCTGCTAGGGCACTCTGCCCTCCCCCCCCCCTCCCCCCGCCCCTCCAAACAAACAAACAAACAAGCGACCTCAAAAGCCCGAACCCCCAAAACCCACCAAAGTCGCCTCAGGCCCCACCGCGGCCCCCCCACCAGAACCGCGCTCAGGTGGCGCTCCGAGAGCTGTTGGATACCAGGCGCCTGTCGTAAGATAAGGCCGCGAGGCAACATGTAAAGCTCGTGGTTTTTTGGTGAGAAGGCGATGGAGGAGAGTGACGTCAGTCTAGCCTGTAGGTTTTATGTTTTGGGGAAAACAAGAGAGAAACAATCCAACAAAACAAGAAGCAGAGAGATAAGGACTAGTATCCGGGACCCGGGTTTCCGGTCCCGGAAGGCTGATGCCCAAACTTGTGTGGAGAAGCTCTGGTGGGTCCCTGGAGGTACTTTGTGAAAGTGATGCCGATCGGTATCCTCTACGGCTGCTCGGATCTAAAGCGAAGATGGCATTTGTCTGGTAAGGGATTGGGGTGCCTGAGATAGTCACATCTGCTTAGCTGCGCGTATCATGCACGTCCTTGCCTTGATCTGCAGCGATTTGAAGGCGTTTTCCTTCAATCATTACTACACACTCCTGAAGCCCTAAACCTCAAACCCCTCCGCTTCTATGTAAACTGCATTCATAATCTCAAAACTCTGGGGGCCTAGAAACTGTTGAAGCAGTTACATCCCGAAGACAACGTTCAACCTAACATAACTTGGGACAAAACATCACAAAACATAACTGTTTGAACATCCACCGAAAACGTGTTCTGCCAGTCCGTCGGCACACAAACACATGGTGGGGAGGGGGATGGCAGGTTTAGGGTTCAGGGTTTCGGGACAATTTGGTTTCGGGACAATTTGAGGACAGGTTGGCGATTTTGGCACAGGTTTGTTGCAGGTTTGCATTTGAGGCTTGATTCGTTTTGGATGCCCTGTACGCAAGGCTGAGGCGTATGATTTCATTTTTTTCTCTACCCCCCTCCCCCCCCCCCCCCCCCCCCAAAAAAAAAAAAAAAAAAAAGAAAAAAAACTGAAGACCTAACCTGAGCCCTAAAATCCTAAAGCCCTAAAAGCCATAAAAGCCCTAACAGCCTACAAGGCCCAAAAGCCCAAGAACTCGAAACCGCACCTCGCCAAGGCTTAGGCGACTTGCTCCAGACAATTGCCTGCAACATGGCTTCCGCACCGGTTGCCTGGTTGGCAAGCGGGTTTAGGGTTTAGGGTTTAGGGTCTGGGGGTAATCTCGTTGAAGTTTAGGGGTTTTAGGGCTTTGCTCAGGCTTGGGACGGGTGCTTGAGGGGCGGTTCCGCCATACCCGGGGTCTGCCCTTTATGCCCCTCAAGAAGTATATCCCCCTAAGAGAAAAGGATCCCCACTTTTTGTGAGACCCCATTGTGGTCAAGTTCCTTGCTCCAGGTGGTTCTGATCGTTGGCCAGAGCAAACTCTTCCTGACAGCCCTGCTGTCGAAGCTCTTGTCGCGTTTCTTCCTGGAGCAAACTCCGCACATGCGCCTGGGAAGCTGATCACGTCCTAGCTTTTTTTTAATGCAGGCTTCCTAAGACATAATTGGTCTTACAACGTGCTGTGATGCAAGAAGCCGCTCATGGTACCCTATAAACCAGGTAACGTTGGTTTGCAGCACTCCAGTTTCCACCATTTTACGGGCGCGGGCCTCGTGGCCTAGGCTAGAGCAGGGCGGCAAACCCCAAGCCCGAAACCCCTAACCATAATCCCGAACCCTACACCCTAAAACCCCAAGCCCTAAACCCCTAATCCCCGAACCCTCCACCCTAAAATCCCAAACCTAAGAACACAGCCAGGGGCCTCCACAGATGGCTCCGGCTCCTGACCATCTCCTTGGCGGCCGTGGCTGCCGTCGACTCTCCAGTGGGCCCCGTCGCGGAGACCGGCCGCGTGGCGTGTTAGGGTTTCGGGGGTTGGGGTTTCCGGTCTACGGATTAGGGTTTATGGTTTGATTTGAGATTTAGGGTGCATGGTTTGGGGTTCAGGGTGGGCCTCAGTGTTTTCCGTTTTGTTGGGGGTACCACCACCACCACCAGTACCACCACCACCACCACCACCACCACCACGAATACCACCAGTACCACCAGTAGCACCACCGACGACTACGACTACGAGAACGAGTACGACTACGACTGCGACCGCGGCGGCGGCGGTGAAGAAGAAGAAGACGACGACGACGACGACGACGACTACTACTACTACTACTACTACTACTACTACTACTACTACTACTACTACTACTACTACTCTACTAACATACCCTAACCCGCCTCTCACCTCCTCACCTGAAACCGCAAACCCATAGCCCCTACCCACCCAGGTGGTGGTGGTGGTGGTGGTGGTGGTGGTGGTGGTGGTGGTGGTGGTGGTGGTGGTGGTGGTGGTGGTGGTGGTGGTGGTGGTGGTGGTGGTGGTGGATGTGGTACTGGTGGTGGTGGTGGTGGTGGTGGTGGATGTGGTACTGGTGGTGGTGGTGGTGGTGGTGGTGGTGGTACTGGTGGTGGTGGTAATCGTGGTGGTGGTGGTGGTGGTGGTGGTGGTGGTGGTGGTGGTGGTGGCCATTTCAAGTGTATCATATATTCAATGTTCGTGGGGCTGGGGTTGTCCTTGGGTGTTCTGGGGGAGGGGTTCTCGGGATTTCAACCCGCGACCCTAGACCTTAAACCGTAAAGCACAAAACACAAGGAATGTCAGCGGAGGGTCGGGTCGCAAGACTGTTTCGGAGTGGCTTGTACAGGTTTGGGCCAGACCCTTAGAATCACAACACCCGAAAGCCTAAGCCCTAGGCCCTAAACCCATCATAGCAACCTTCGAACACTGCGCTCCACCACTGGTACCCCTATGCCCTTTATGCTAGGGGTGCCTATCACACGAAAAGAAGCGTACCCTGTTTCCTTCGGCGGGCCTATGCCTAGCGAATGTTTTGCCCCCGAAATCGCTCTAGGCCTTTACAGAGTTTATGGAGTCCTCTACCATAAGCAGCAAACCCCAAGAACCCTGAGCCCCAAAAGCGCAACAAGACCCTAAAACCCTAAGCCCTAAGTGAAACTAAAGGTCAGACCCCAGACCATATGTCCAGGTGCCCAAACGCGACCCCGAGACCCCAAAACCTAAACCCGCAACCCCGAACCAAAAAACTCCCGAAGCCCTAAGCCCCAAACCCCCCACTCCGAAAAAAACAAGGTGACACCTGCCGCGGCGCCGCGCTGGCCCTGGTGAAAGCCGCGCTCAGTGCATCAGGCTCCGCGGCGGTTAGAGCCTAAATCCCCTAAACTCTCAATCTAAGGCTGGAACCATGGGCCCTTAGTATGGTCCCTTGCCCTTGTTGATATCGATCCGAAGTACGGGCCCTTTGGTGTATGTTAGGGGTTGTAGAGCAAGGGGCCCAAAACAAGGGCCCATACTTCGAACTTTAGGCTTTAGGGCCTTTAGGGTCTTCGCGATGTCCAGCAGTACCCTTTTTCACCTTTGTTTATGGCTTCCGGATCCTTTAACAAATGTTTCGAAGCCCCTCTAAACCAGAATGCTCAGTAGTACCCCTCTGCCTTAGGGACCTTGAGGCCAGGATCCCTTCCGAACGAATAAAGGAAAGGCGAAATTTTGTGTGCCGAGAGGTTGCAGAGCAACCGAGGTTCAGGGCTCCTGAAGCCATAGGCTAGAGTTGTTAGGGTTTAGGGTGAAGGGTTTAGGGGTTTAGGGTCCCATGGTGCAAGGTCCTCTGCATGAAGCCTGCAAACAAGACCCTTTCAACCGATGGACACGAAGGCGTCCGATCTTAAATCCCCCTCCCGCATGGGGCCGGGCTAGCGGCCGCTGACACAAACCGTGTCTGAGCCTTAAGCCACACCGTTCTTGAACACGATTTTTGTTCATTTAGTTACGGCTTGCTTTATACTTGGAGGCTTCCAAAGAAGGAAAAAACTGTTCAAGCTTAGTTCACAGATCCTGAACCACGAAACACCTAAGCCTGTAGAAGAGGACTACCATCTGTTAGGAGCGATCTGGTCGGAGCGTGTGTACAAGAACTACACGGCAGACTTCTGGGTAGCAGCTTGACCGGACAGGGGGGGGGGGGGGGGGGGGGGAGGGGGGGAAGGGTGGGCAGAGGTGGCCGGAGGAGGCGGGTTGGTTGGGAGTCATACTCGGACCTCTAAGGATGTACCCCTAGGAGGTTTCCTTTAATGTACTCCCAATATGGCCCTTATATTCCTTGAAAAAGACCTTTAAACAGAGTCCCCAAAACCCAAGGGTACAACCTGAGGGGTCTAAGGTGGAGTTTTTTGACTTTGGGTCCCTTTAGAATCGGTATCTTCCCCGAAAGGAATCGTCATGCAAAGGCCTGGCCATATGAAAGCTGTTAGATCCACTCCCAAGCCCCGAACTCGAAACTCCAATCTCCAAACCGTGTCTTTCGCTGCACAAATCCTAAACCCCTTAGCCTATAGCCCATTCCAACCCTTCATTCGTATGGGAACCTAAACAGGCACCAATGGCTAAGAGTTTGGCTTCGTCTTCCGTTCTATTACATAACCCCCCGTCGTCTAGAAGCTGCTGTACCGCCGCCCGGCAAACGCACATCTGCAAACGCGGATGATTAAAAGGTCTCTTTTCACGTGCAGTCTGCGATGCTGTTGACCAGCCCCTTGGCCGAAGCACCTGAAACGTCTGGGGGTTGGAGGCTCCAGGCTTTAACACTTTATAAGCGTTCTTTGGTGGAAGAGGGTTGGTGTTCTGTGTACTCCTACCAGTCCGTCCATTCGCAGTTCGGGTCACTTTGGTGTCATGTTCCAGCTCCGACTCTCTCGGGGAAACGTCTCAGTTTAAACCCAGATTCAAACGGGCGACAATAGGCTGAAACATGGCTACTGTAGGGGTCGGAATAATTACTACTAGTATTCCCTTACGGTCCCTTTATAAATATACTACAATACCCCCCCCCATTATTCATTCAGCCCAGATGGTACTTCCCTAAGGGTCCATGTACCTAGATAGGGAGTACTTGCGCCGCGAACTTGCGCCTTAAAGTCCTCCCATATCAGGACTCTTGGGTCCAAGTACATCATAGTGAGGCACATGGACCCTCTTAAGTCTTAGGGCTTGCCTTTCTTTCCCTTTTTTTCGCCCGGGGTGCTCAGGGAAGCTCTGCCCCCGAATCAAACCGCCCAAATACTCCCACGCCCCACTCGAAATCGAAAGCTCTGATCCCCTGGCCTTCGGGAATTTTAGGAAGTTTAGGGTTTAGGGCGTTGGGTTTCAGATTTCGGGTTCAGGATTTAGGGTCCGGGGAGAGATGAGTTGCGAGGTGTTGGGACAGGTTAGAGTAGTAGGAGTTGTGGGGGGGTTGACAGGTTTAGGGTGTAGGGTTGTGAATCTGCACTCCAAGGGAGTTAAAAGGCTTACTATAGGGGTCGGAAGAATTAGTATTGGTACTCCCTTATGGTCCCTATAGAAATATACTAGCATGGCCCCCACAACCTTACTCTCATTATCAAGGCCCGTATATGATCCCTAAACCCTAAACCCTAAACCCTAAACCCTAAACCCTAAACCCTAAACCCTAAACCCTAAACCCTAAACCCCACCAGGTTTGATCCTCCTCTTCTTCGGTCGCGATGGCCCGCCTCCTAAACCGCGCCTCGGCGATCTTGCCGTGTCCGGTTGGCTCAGGATGCCTGTGCCCGTGTAGTATACACTTGGGCCTTTTAGGGGGTTTAGGGTTTAGGGTTTAGGGTTTAGGGTTTAGGGTTTAAGGGGGTTCAGTTATAATAGTAGCTGTAGGGCTCAAGTATATACTACATCATAGGCGCATGGATCCTCAAGGGCAAGGCAGCAGCGGTTCTCCCAAAATCTTCCAATGTGAAGCTTGTACCCTTGTACCCTAAGGCCTGAGCACAAAAAGCCCCAAAGCCCTAAAGGCCGTGAAGCGTATCCTCTACTTGGAGGTTCATAAGTAGGGTTAGAAGTACCCTAAAGAAGGTTTTAAGCATACTTAATAACGTTCCGAAAGATGGCAATTGACAAGTTTTGGCAGCTTAGCCCCAACACCTCCAAGACAGCGCGAATCCCGGGTGTTAAGGGCCCTAAACCTAAACCCTAAACCCAGTGGAACTTGCAGTTGAGGGCCTGTTGGGAGCTTTGAGGATCTTTTGAGATCTTGAGTCCGTGCTTCCGCTGCTTTGGGCGCCTCAAATTCTGCAAGCCCCGGCAGGATGAGCTTCCACCCCAAACCCCAAAATCCCAAACTTGCGTCGCCCTAACCCCTAAACCCTGAAGCCTTAACCCTAAACCCTAAACCCTAAACCCTAACCCCTAACCCAAAACCCTTGCAGCAGATTCAGGCTCTGTCCTTGCCAGCCAGCACCTGGGGAGAGCACCTGCTACCTGACTCACAGATGGGCTGGGTCTCGGCATGGCTCCTGGGAGGGGGCAGGGCTTAGGGTTTAGGGTTTAGGGTTTAGGGTTTAGGGTTTAGGGTTTAGGGTT